TTTCTCTCTGGTTTCAATTGTTTTAATCTGCAAAATACAAATCCTATAACCAATTTCAACACATTTTCAACACAACATAAATAAGCACTTTAGAAATTATCTTCACCCACCTGTGCAGGACACTGTTGTTAAGTTGTGACACATAACAACCTCATGAATGAAGTACTGCCTGGTTCAGCTCAGACTGACACTGGCCGCTGCGTTCAAGCCCAGTGACGTTGAGTCACTGTGTCAGTCCTTCTGATTGAGTATCTTCTTTTTTTATTGATTTTCTCTTTTCCCAAGCATGATGTCTTTTCTCAAGAGTACATAATAGGGTAAATATGAGAATTTAAAATGTTAGGTCAAAATATATGCACATGTTTAATTTTGATATCTACTGTAAGATTGTTACTGCTGTTGTTTTTACTGTCAAGTCAAAAACGACCACAGCTGACTCTTTGTAGGATCACCCTTCAAAATAGATTCACTAATTTATGTGTTCTCAAAATGTAAAGTGACACCCTAGTTATATTCTGTTAATCTGATGAACAAAATTATGTTCCACTGATATTTTGATTTGCCATTTTCCTGGTTGTAACAAGAGTCAACTATTTCCCAGTGTTTACTATCCATTTTTATTTCTGTTGTTTGACTGTAATCTTTGTCAACATTCTTATGTTAGGCTGTGTGCTTTGTTATTTATGTGTGAAAAGATATTCTATATTTTGGGTAAAAATACTTCTGGTATCTGTGCTGTTTGTTATCCATGTCAGCTTTGCCTCCAAGGAGCACTCGGGCCGCGCTTTCTTCCAAGACATAAATGTGAGGTGTCTGTGACCCACAAGGGGATTTAGATAGCTCACTAATAGTGTAAATAAGGTAAATGACTCCTTTTCGGTGGGAACATGCAAATAAGAATTTTACTGTGGAGACTGATCAGTTTGGCTTCTCACCAGGCTTAATATAAGCTTATTTAGAAACAGAAAAGGGAGCTTTAAAAAAAAATAAATAAAATCAGAGAGTGCAGCACATCTGAGATCTGTGCATAAACCAGAGATGGAAAACTGTTACTGAGAAATGGGCAGCAGCAGTGACAGTGAGAGCAACTGAGGTGGTGGAGAACTAGAGATTAGTAGGACACTTAGTTGTGAGCTCCCAGCCCACAGCCTGAGAAAGTTGAGGACTTAATAGCAAAGTGTCTCTAGGCTTGGTGGACGTGTCCATAGAAGTAAAGGTGGGGACCTTTATCCTTAGGCTTACTGCCAGAGTCCCGATTGGTTAAGAGAGCTTTACAACACTTATCTGATCAGGGCATAGGCCAAGGCCACAAGTCTGAAAGTAAGAGAGCAGACAGAGTATGCTAAGAGGTTGACCTGATTAAAAAGCTGTACTCGAGTATTCCCAATCTTATTTGCATGGTGGTAGAATGATCAGAAAAATATGTGGAGCATGAAGTTGGGGAGAGTATTTCTGACCTCATAGGAATTAGTTTTGTGCTTTTGATGGGGATTCGTATCCCTTTAGAAGTTAAGGACAGTCAGATACTGCTGTGTTCATGCTCACCACATTGTTTTTTTATATACAGTTTCACACTAGTATTGGAGTTAAGAACATGATAGCTGGGGTCAGGCACACATTAATCTGCAATGACATTCTTGCTTTTTAGCACTTTAATGGTGTCTTGATTTCCGTTAGTTTTGGTATACCTTTCTGAGCCCTCCCTCTTTTTAGTGGTATTGTGCATCAGCACAATCCCTTATTGGATATTGTCTCTCTTCCCCATTCCATACCCATGTTTCTTATCAATTTACTAATTATTACTCCCCTCATTCCTTTCCCATCCCTGCTAATCATCCAATACTGATGCTATCTGTGTGTAAACCTTTTCTTAGCTTTTAAAAATAGTGTCTTTTTGTTATTGACTAAAGTCAGTCACTTAGCATAATGTCCTCTAATTCACACATGTTATTCAGTGTTTCTCAAATTCTTTAGTATTTTTTTAAATTTTATTGTTCTTTATATGTGTATTATCAAATTGTGTCTGACTGGTACAGGAGGAGATTGCCCCTCCTTCTCCAGCAGAGCATCTGGTGGATTTGAAACGCGTACCTCACGTTAGAATTTTTTTAATGTAAATACTTAAGTGTGTAAATGTACTATTATTTCTTTATTCATTTGTCTATTGATGGGCACTTTGGCTGTTTCCATCTTTTTGCTATTGTAAATGATGCTGCAATGAACATCAAGATGCATATATCTGTTTGTGCCACAGGGCATATTTCTTTGTGGTATATACCTGATAGTAAGTTTTTCCATAGTGCTCTGCAAAGTTGTTGCACCATTTTACATCCACACTCTAGCATTGGATGTAAATTCCAGTATCTCCACACCCTCGCCAGCTTTTATTGCTTATTTTATTTTATGACTTACTGAACTTTGTAGTTAATTGACCAGAGGAGATGATGGCTCATTGTTGCTTTCTATTCCTCTCTTTAATGATCTTGAGCATTTCTTGATATGTGTTCACCATCTGAATGTCTCTTTTTTGGTGAAGTATCTTTTCATTCTCTCTGCCCATTTTGTAATTCAGATATTTGTCCTTGCTGAAATATTGGGTTTTCTATGAATTGTAGGAATCAGTCTCTTGTGTCATTGTCAAATATTTTTTTCTAGTCTGTAGGTTTTCTATTTATGTTTTGGAGAATTCTTCTAACTGATGCATTTAAGTTTTTAATTTTTAGGAGACCCCAATCATCTATTTTATCACCTGATCTAGGAAGCATTAAAAGGAGATGGAAGGAATATACAGAATCACTGTACCAAAAAGAATTGGCTGACACAGAAAAGTTCAAGAAACAAGATTGGACAGTACAGGAAAATAGAAAACTAAAAGTGAGAAGGATATAAAAGAAGATTCTGATTTGTTGTTAGGTGCCAGTGAGTCAACTACAACTCTATAGTGACCCTAATACACTTCCTAAACAACACGCCTCCAGAAACTCTATGAACTTTGATAAATGTTGGTAGTTATAGAAAAGCTTTAGGCCTTTTGTTCATAGGGTCACTGAGTCGTGCTCGACTCACAGGCAATCAGCAACAACAACCTCACCCTATCCTGTGCTGTCCTCACAATCTCTGCCATGCTCAAGTCCATTGTTGCAGTCATTTTGTCAAGCCATTTCTTTGAGGGTCTTCCTCTATTTCCCTGACCCTCTATCCTTCCCACCACAATATTTTCCCAAGGACAATCAATATCCCTGACAATATGTGTAAAATATGTGAGAATCAAAGTAGAAAGACAAAGAGGAAAAAGAAGTAAGGACAGAGAGAGAGAGAGAAATTCTGGCAAGGGGTGGGAGAAAAAACACAACAACCTAACTTGAAAGTAGTAGAGTAGGCAGAAGAAAGGAAAACAACAAACCCTGCAAAAACTAAAAATAAAACAATAAATAAAGTGTCCAAAGTTACAGGAAATAAAATGAGAGAGAAAAGAGCGCGATCTTGGAGGAGGATGGACTAGGCACCTGATGTACACTTGCTACTGCTGTGGTGAGCATAGGCAAAGTGTCTACCCTGACACCAGTTTGCCTGCCAGTCTAGCAGAAATTTGGGGTTAAGAGTCCCAGTTTGGTCCTAGTTTCTGCTCATCTGAGAGGTGGCTGAGGCCAAGAAATGAGCACCATTTCTGGCCTAGAGCGTGTCAAGGAGCAGAGCACCCAGCCTGGGATGGGATTTGTGCAGTCTTCACTCAGGAGCCATGCTATTCTGGCTGGCTAGGGATGTTGACTCTGCCAGTCTGCGTTCAGGCAGGATACCCAGGCAGAGATGACTAGCATCTCATCAGTCACTACCAGTCTCAAATGCCCAAGGTTGGTGCACTCTGTCAAGGGAGGGGTGTTCTGCTCCAGATGTGACTATGGTGTGTGCCAAGGGAGATACCTGCAAGGATGCCTAGGTGATGCCTCACCAATTCAGTTTCTGGCTGCAGGCCAGACATGAGTATGTCTGAGTTTAGAGTCATATACAAGCTCTACTAAATGGCATGGGTCTGACTGCAGGTGGCGCTGGATGCAGGGGAACACTGCCAGGCACTTGCAAGGTTGTAGCGGTAGAGAAAGTCGTGTTCTTACACTCCTTGAAGGTACATGTGACAATAGGGGAGAGCTTTCCGCTCTTGTTTCCAGCCAGCTGCTGTGCTGACTGCTGCTACAAGCCTGAGGTCTCTTGCCAATCCATCTACTGTTCTAAATGGCTATGCCTCATGGTTTACAAGACTGCCCTCTGTCCGCCTATTTATTCAATGTTTCCATTCCATTTCTTCCTTCAGTCAGTTTTGGAACTACTTCTTTATCTTTTCCTTTCAACTTGGAATTCCAGAATTCCAGAATTATTATCTATGTGCTGTCTTTGTTTTCTGGCATTGTGGTTGAAGAAGATCTGGGCTCCTCTCCACCTAGTCTTCTCCCTTACTCAGAAGTCACTGTGCATTATGTCTTTATTTTTCAAATAAATAGAATGAGTATTACAATATCACGAAGATCATGCATAGCTAAGATTATGCATGAGGGACCTTGGTCGGTGGTGGAATGCTTGTCTTTTATGCAAAGAGTTTGATTTCTGGCCAACAAACCTCAAGTTCAGATATTATTTGTCTGTCAATGGAGGCTTGCATGCTGTTATGATGTTGAGCAGGCTTCAGTAGAGTTTCTAGACTTGGCAAAGCTTGGCAATCTACTTTAGAGGCTCAGTTTGTGAAAGCCCTGTGGATCAGTCTAATTCCATTGTACATAGGGTCCCCATGAGTTAGAGCTGCCTCAAAGGCAGCCAACAACAAGTGTGATGTACATACAGATTTCTTTGCTAATTGACAGAATAGTCATTTTTATGAACAATGTATTTATGCTTTCAGTTTTTTATTACATTCTATTTATATTAGTAGCTGAAAGAGTAAAATAATCTTGTATAATATTCTTGAATTATGAGACATCTAAAGGTAAAATTATTATTTTTTTAATTAGGTGTCTTTTCCATCAAAAAACTACTTATCACGATCTTCTAGACCAAAAAGTATAGATACGAATATACCATATAAGGTGAGTCTTGAGTTACTGTTTCCCAGCATTAATTATACTTTGCTGCATTTCTCTCAATACTTTCTTTGTATAATTAAATTATTCTAAAATACAGTTCAGAAATTCTGGTTGCTAGCACACTCAGCAGCTAACCAGAAAACCGAAGTCCCAAACCACCAAGAGGTGACTTGGAAAAAGTCCTAGTGACCTACTTCTTGGAGAAAAAAAAGAAAATCAGTCATTGAAAACCCTAAGAAGACTAGTCCTAATCTGAGACTCAAAGAATCACCATGGGTCAAAACCAACCTGACAGGACTTCCTTTTTACAGCATGGGCAGTAGAAATACTTTCAAAAATACATACATACAAACATACATACATACATACATACTTATAAATACTTTAAAAAATACATACGACTTGTGACCCCCTGGATTGTCTATCTGTAGCGAGAATCCTGGGAATCTGTATTTCTCAGAAACCCGAGGTGATACTTGGGCTGTCTCCTTGGTATCAATTAGCAAAATGAGCTTTATCCATTAAAATGAACTTTCACTACTAAACTACTACTAAAATGAAATATACAAACAAAAGTATTACGTAAATTATTCAACATTTTAATTTTTTTTCTTTTCAGTTTGACAGTGTAGTTGTTTTTGTGTGCCATGGGGTCAGAACTTAACCTATAGCTGACCTTCCAATGGCTTTTCAGAGGCAGTAAATTGTACAGAAGGAGAGTGCCCATTCTTCTCCTGCAGATTAGCTGGTGGTTTCAAAGTGTGTGCCTTTGAGATTGCAGCTCAGCCAACAGAATAACCTTCAATGATAGTCTAGAATCCCATAGCTAAAACAGCCTATGGATATTAGACTAAATTTTTCTTGTATTATCTCTCTTATCCACTCTTTCAATAATGAGTCATTAAAGAGCAAGATAAGTATAAGACACATTAAATACCAAATGGAGTGCATCATTGTTGCAACTTCAAGACTTAAAGGGTCTTTATAGAAGATATACGTCGGGGGGAGCTCTGGTGGCCTAGTGGCAAGGAGCTGCAACTACAATCCCAGAGGCGTACGGTTCGAATCTGATTTGACGGTACACTCACATAAAAATAATAATAAAAATACCCCACATAAATAAATATAAAAATATAAATAAAAAAAAGAAGATAAACGTCATATGTTTAATAAAACATCTATTGCTTGCTTTACATTTTTTGCACATTGTTACTAAAGTGGTAAATATTTATATGGACAGGACTTAGACCTGAAATTAGCCACTATCTAAGCCAATGCAGCTAATATTGGAAATTGAAAAGTTAAAATGCACATGTTGTTGTTGTTGTTGATTGCCATCAAGTCAAGCACAACTCATAGTGACCTATAAACAGAAGGCTTGTAGCCTTTCTAAAGTTCATAGAGTCTCCAGAAGCATGTTGTTTAGGAAGTGGATGCCACTCCTGCTTCCAAAATGCACATACACACAAAATTAATTACGAATGGCTTTAAGAAATATTCCAGGTATCACAAAAGTAGAAAATAATGCTATTAATATTAAAAGTTAGAGGAAATTTTGCATTAGAATTTTTCGTTTTATTCTGTTTTCATTGTATTTTAAGAGAATTAGAATTGGCTGTCTCTACCTTATAGATCGTAAAATGTTGACCACATATACTGACAGACTGCTCTAAGAAAACAAACTTAAAAGTTTATTACAAACACAAACTAAATGCTACAAAATTTCTTATCTTTTCTTGTTTTAATATTGCAGTTCCAGACATTCAACATAAAGGACAGTTTCGAATCTTTTTTAAGGAATGTAAACAACAAAAGCCCCGACAGTAAGAGGAAAAGACAAGATATGCTGGAATGTCAGAGTACATTAAGTGCAGAGGTTGTTGAACACGAAGATCAAGATCCTCCATACCCAATACAACCAAAGAGTGAAGAACCTACTGATAAAATCCAGACGCCTGAGCTTAAAGCCACAGCAGAGCCCTTAACCACTGAGTCGAAAGAAAACCTACCAAATAAATCTCTACTGAATGTTCCACTCGAATCACCAGTGACTACAAGTACAGAGGCACGCTCTCTCTCCAAGTTGTTAAAGCGTCCCTCCTTTATAGAAAATTTAAGACAAGCCAGGACGTTTCAACCAATTTTAACTCAAACCCTGCAAGAATTTTTAGATAAATTCTTTTCTAACCCAGATGTGCTTATGGACATTGAACCAAGGATGAAAAGCTGTCAGTCTCCAGTTCAGAGTGTTTCTGATGAAGCAGCGAGTAGTTTGGAAGAGGAAGCACTGGAAAAACCCCAAGGCTTGAAAAGCTGGCGTTCAAAAAGAGATGTGTTGTTGTCAGCGTCTGCTTTCAATCAAGTAATTAAAGACAGGCCTCCAGATTCACTTTCTGAAGGAAGATCAGGAACATCTACACAGATAGACAAGGAACATACCTCTGCAAGAGACTTAGTGGCCAGTGTGCGTAGCTCTTACATAAAGCAAATATTCACCGCAGCCATCTTCTCAGAGTTGCTGAAAGGAAGCAGCACAGAGGAGGATGTTCAGGGTCAGTTACTCACTGAAAGGGAGAGAAGTCTGTCCTCACATAACAGGGTTCACTATGAAAAAAAAGATGACAAGAAAGCAGTAGTGTCACCATCTGAACTTACTATAAAACAGATCATGGAAGCATTTCCGGTCGAATCACTTTTAGAATCTGGGTTGATCAAAGTGACCGAAGTGGGTGCAGAAGATGGAGAGCATTCTTTGAAGGATGCAGAGAAAGGCTCTCCTGAAGAAAAGCCACACTACCCCACAGAGGAGTTTTCCAAAGTAAAAATCAGAATCTATCCTCCTTCAGAGCATAGTCTCCCCACCACCCTGCAAGGAGCCACTGGTGTTCTTAATACAGATGGATTTCTAGAGGAAAGCCAAAATACTCTGCCACAAGACTCAAAATATTATTCAGTGCCAAATAGAAAAACAGATTTTCCCAGTGATGGTCAAAGTCTTCATAAAGACGAAAGCAATCTTTATGCTACTTTGGAAAATATAACCGACTCAGTGGGTAAGCTCAATGAAGCAGATGTAATAATATTAAAATCCTTTTTAAAACACATCTTTGAAGTTTTCTTTCAGTACCATCAGCCTGAAAGAAGAAAAAAACCAGAAGGAGAATTACAGAGATTAATTCAATATTCTTTTACAAATGATACAGAAGACCTGGAAGGGATCAGAGAGGATTTTGACAAAGCAGAGAAATTAGGCACAAAGCCCATTTTGAACCCAAAGCTGCGTTTATTTCTTGAAGAACTCTCAGAGTCAGAAATAAAAAATTTAAAATCTGAATTAAGTAAACATGTCCAGCATTACCTTGTAGAGAGACTTTCAGAATCAGGTTACATCACCAAGGAGGACTTACCAAAAATCTATCAAACTCTGTATTTCATGAATGAGAAATCAGAACCAAGAGGGCAGAGCATTTTTCAGGAGAAGTATTCAGACACTGTGAAAGAAGTTATGTCTTTTGTAAATAATTTTCATAATAATTTCATAGATAAACATTTAGAAATAAAGTTAAGGTCTTTTTTAACAGAAATCCTCAAAAACTATTTCCTAGAAAATCTTTCAGAAAGCAAGTTGTTTAGAGAGACAGAAACTGGGAGTATATCCTCAAACACATCTTCTCTAAGAACTAAAAGTTTCCCAGTATCTTTACATGACTCTGGGCAAGATATTTCAAGAGGACATTTTGATAGAAGTCTTGAAAATAACATGGAATACCCTTTGAATAAATATCTGCAGGACTCTTTTTACATTTCATCAGACCCTTTCAGTAAATATCTGCAAGATTATTTTTTCATTTCATCAGAAAATGAACTATCACGTCTAAAAGATGAATTAAGCAAATATTTCCAAAGACTTTTCTTAGAAAAACTTTCAAAATCTGGACTAATCACGAAGAGACAATTTGAGTTAATCAAACAGTATCTGGTAGATCATTCCAGTTCTAAGCCATTTGAATATATGACTGATTTCTCTTTTAGGGATGAAAATAAGCTTCTAGAGGAGCATTCAGAAAAGCAAAATAAAGATTCAAATATTGCTCAAAAAACTACTTCACAAACAGTCCCTAAAGAGAGACTTCTAGAAACAGAACTGACCAGACATGAAGAAAAAGAATCTTTTTCTTCACAAAATACTAAAGAAGTTAGGGACCAGAAAAGATACTTTTCCAAAGACGAAGCTAAAGCATCCCATTTAAGAAATGTACAGTGTGCTTCCAACTTCCAGGCAAGTTCATTTAATAAGCCATCAGAGAGGCTTACAAATACTATGTTTAAGAATGAACAGAAAGAACATGGTTTCAGACAGTTTGTTCCAGCAGAAAATTCCATTTTTAAAGCAGAGACTCAAGACATATGTTGTTGGGATGCTAAATCAAAACTATTTAAGTCCAATGCTTGCTTTGAAAGGACATTGGAAAGGAAGCCAGCTGAAAAAAAGGAGCATGTTAACATCTATAAAGTGACCATTCAGAAAACACCTGAAGCAAGACCTTTATCATATCCAAGAGTTCCAAACTGCAGAATGCCAGATAACGATGAAGGTCACCCCGAGACACTCACTTATCCCTCATGGCAGAGTCACACTTGCTCTCATTTCAACGCAGAGGATGAGGTGACATCAAAATTAGACCAATACTGTCGGAGAATTAAAGGAAACAATAACAACAACAGAAAACAACATTCCACAGTACTTACAGAACATCGGAAAGACATGAAAATTCCTTATAACAAAAATATTGACATTTTCAGTGAAAATTATGCCAACATCCCTGAATCACAATATTTAAAATGCAATGTTTTAGAAATGGAGAAAAACTCAAACCCCTTCCTATTCTTAGAAGTATTAAAGAGAGAAAGTTTAAAGCCCAAGGTCCCCAAAGAAAAAGATCATGTCAGCAAACAAAAAAAGTCATTTAGCAAGATGTTACCAGTCACATTGCCTTCAACAAAGAAATCTATCCCAAGGACGATGCTTCGCTGGAATGCAAGAACAACTATACATGTAATAATGTTTTCCAAATCTTTTATTTGTATTTGGGAAAGTTCTAGAAATAGCTGGTTTTAGGTTATATCTGTCTGTATGTGAGTGTATAGTTTTTTTTTTAAGTTTTTTCTTTTTCTAATTATTATTAATTTTAATGAACATTTACCGAAACTGGATTTCCATTCATTCAATTGCTGCATTTTTCTCCCTGCCAACCCCCCCACCCAGGTCACTCTTCTCTTTGAAAAATAAAAGAAAAATTCTTTCATTGGTATACAAACCCCCTGCCCCCACCGCCCGAGTCCACTCCACTATACAGCCTTCATTCTGGACTCTTGTCATGACCATGATACCCAATCATATATCACTTTTGAACAGTTCTCTCTCTCATCTGTTTCAATGCAGTATACATAATTTATCCCATCTTTCTCAGTCTCAACCCAACCCTGATGTCAGGGTGTGTAGCTTTAAGGCATACAGACTTGCAAATTTAAAAAGAGATAGAATGAGAGAAATAAAATTCTGAAAATTCCAAGTATCACCTCAACTGATTCAAAAGGCAATCACAGAGCAAGGAGAATGTTAACACACCTGTTACCTTTGTATATGAATCAGATCAAGGGCTCATCCTCTAGTGCATAGAAAAAGTCTGTCTTTTCTTCTGTAAAGACCCTTTGCTTGGTGCAGCCCAGACAGAGTTAGGGCACATGATTCTACCTGTAGAAAACTGGTTCCATTTCCTCCCACACTTACCTCTCTGACAGAGATAGTTGTGCTCTGACACAACCTATAATTACTGTTAGAGGCCACAGAGCTGAGATTTTTTTTTATGTAGATAATTAGATTATTATTACTTTTGTTTCAGTAAATAAATATGAAGCTTCTGCTATGTGCAAGTTATTTTTTAAACAGTAAGGTTATGAAAAATTTACAATCTGTTGGATTCTGAATAGCAAAACTTGAATTTCTCTTTTCACTATTACCCTCTTTGCTAAATCATCTGATATGAGAAATGTGGGAATTAGAATCTGTTTTTAATATAAAATAAGAAGGAAAATTTTTTTACTAGATTTATACAGATCATTCTTAAGCAATGTTAAAATATAGGGTAACTAGGTAATTGCTTCCTTTTAGGATAGACACGAAATAATACATGTAGATAAGCAGGCATGACCTACAATTGAGAAAACTTCTAAGTGCTAAAATTTATATTAAATTGATAACTTGATGTGCATAGTTCTGCCTCTGAATGAAAAAAACCCCATTATTTTAGGGTAGAAGTTTTGAAATTGTTTTCCACAGTAAAGTAAGTTCTTAAAGTGTCACGGTAAATATCAGTATAGCTTTATCTTTGAATTCTGGACATTTCTAGTCCAAAATTAATTTGATATTAAAATATGTATGTATGTCAAGTAGGGATACGTGTGTACGTTTTAAGAAAAAAAAACTTTGATTCATGGATTTTGAAGGAAAAACATTTTCTCAAGTTTTTTAAAACAAACAAATAACATTTATAATAAATTGTATGAAACTGCATAGGGTCCCAAGCATCTCTTTGAAATCATCTGTTTAGCTCTCTTCAGAATTTCTCCTCTTCTTTAAATTCTTAAAGAAGTTTAAGTGCAAATTCCATACTCTCTTTGAACATCCATTTTCGTTCTTTGTTTCCTGTCTTTGTAATGACCTTTTGCTTCCTTCTTGGATGGTGTCCTTGGTGTCATCTTAATAACTTGTCTGATCTTCGTTCATTACTGTTCAATGCATCAAATCTATTCTTTAGATGGTTTTTAAATTCAGTTGGGGAAAAAACAAATCCTCACCACTGGATCTATAGGCAATATCACAATACATAGAGAAAATATTGAAGCATCGGTGACTTCATTTTACTTAGATCCACAATCAACACCCAGGTAGCAGTAGCCAAGAAAGACTTGTTGCCATGGGGACATCTATTCTCAAAGACCTCTCCATACTTCTTCAGAGCAAAGATGTCAGTTTAAAGACTAAGTCTGATCTAAGTCATGGTATTTTGAATTGCTTCTTATGCATCTGAAAGTTGGACAGTGAAGAAGGATGACAGGAGAAGAAACAATGCCTTTGAACCATGGTGTTGGGGGACAGTACTGAATATATCACAGACTTTCAAAAGAACAAACATGTAACTTGAAAGAAATGCAAGCAGAGTGTTAGTAGAGGCAAGAATAGTGAAACAACTTTCTTACTTTGGACATATTTTCAGGAGGAACAAGTCCTTGAGAGAAACATCATGCTGTGAAAAGTAGAGAGTCTGCAAAAGTAACTACCACAATGATGTTGAACAAGACAGAGATCATAAGGAAGGCACAGGATAGGGTAAACTTCAGATCTGTTGTTCATAAGGTCTTTATAGTCGTAGGCAACTTGATGGCAACTAACAACAACTACAAGATCGTATTTTGCTACTCGTGGACTTCTTTTACTATTCGTTAGCTGCAGTTTGAACTCGCACATGAGTAATTGATTAATCTGTTACACAAAGTCAAATAGAAATAACCAAAATATTTTAAAGAAATTTGTAAAGAGCAGGAGTTAGAAAGCCAGAAGGGAAGAAGACATTTAGCATTTCTCAAGTTGAAAGAACTGAAGAACAAATTCAAGCCTCAGGTTGTAATACTGAAAGATTCTATGCACAAAATCTTGAATGATGTAGGAAGCATCAAAAGAAGATGGAAGGAATACCAGAAATAATTGGTCAACACTGAACCATTAAGAGAAGTAGTATAGAATCAAGAACCAGTGGGAATAGAGAAAGTTCAAGTTTCACTGAAGACACTGGCAAAAAAATAATGCCCTAGGAATCGGTAGAATACCAGTTGAGGTGTTTCAACAAACACACAGCCTTATATATCCTCCTAGCGTAAGCCAAGAAATTTCGAACACCAACTCACTGGAAAAGATCCATATTTGTTCTCATTTTAAAAAAAAGTGATCCAACAGAGTGCAGAAATTATTGAACAATGTCATTAATATTATATCCTAAACAATCTTGTTGATTATTTAAAAATTACTGTAATGGTACATTGACAAGGAACTGCCAGAAATTCAAGCTGTATTTAGCAGATGCCATGGCATAAAAGGTAGCATTGTTGATGTCAGATGGATCTTAACTGAAAGCAGAGAATACTAGAAAGTATTTTCTTATGTTTTCTTCATTATGCAAAGGCATTTGTGTGGTTCATAACAAATTATGGATGATATTGAGAGGAATCCAGAACACTTAATTGTGATCATGTGAAACCTCTACATAGATCACTAAACAGTTGTCCTAGAAGAACAAGGGAATACTGTATGATTTAAATTCATGAAATGTATGTATCCTTTCTTTGTGCTTGTTCATTCTGTATGCTGAATAAATCATTCAAGAAGTTGGACCATATGACGAAGAATGTGGCATCAAGATCGGAGGAAGACTCCTCAACAAGCAAAATGACACAACCTTGCTTACTAACCATGAAGAAGACTTGAAGTGCCAACTGCAAAGATTGCAGCCTTCAATAGGGATTACACCTCAATATCAAGAAAGCAAAAACCCTCACCTCGGGACCAACAGACAACATCATGATAGATGAAGATTGAAGTTGTCAACACATTTCATTTACTTGGATTCACAATCAACATCCTTGGTAGGAGCAGTCAATGATGTATTGCCTTTGGAAAATCTGCTGTTAGGACCTCTCCAAAGTGTGAAAAACCAAGCATATCAAGACTAAGATCCAAGCCATGGTATCTTCATTGCTTCCTATTCATTTGAAAGATGAGCAATGAATAAGAAAGTTCAGAGAATTATTGATGCCTTTGAATTTTTTTTGTTGGGGAAGAGTATTACATTTCCCTTTGACTGCTAAAAACCAAATCTGTCTTGGAGGAATGCAACCAGGATGCTTCTTAAAGGCCAGGGTGCTGAAACTTCATTTCACAGACTTTGTATATGTTGTCAGCAGGAGCCAGCCACTGGTAAAAGACGTCATGCTGGGAAACATAAAAGGGCAATGAAAGGAACACTTTCATTGAGATGGACCAACACAGTGTATCAATGAGCCCGAGCATGGCCGAGATTGGAGGATGACACAGGATAAGGCAAGTTTGCATCTGCTGGTCATTGGGTCACTTGTAGTCATAATTGTGCTGACAGCACCTAATAACTCCACCAACATATAGGATCTCAGAAGCACTGAGATTTCAGAATCATTGTTGCTTAATACTGAAAAGAAATACCCTTAAACTAACAGCAATCAAGGGAGTTGTTTGTTGTAGAGCTGTCTTTTTTTCCCTCTGTTAAGCCAGGCAGATCTATTTTTCTCTCTAGTGAAGTTGAAAACAGGAATTGAGTAGTACGAGGGCTGTGTCAAGTGATCAGAAAGGTTTATTAATCTGGTTTTTATAAATCCAGGAAGCTCTCAAGATACCAAAACAAAAGAAATTGAGTTTTAAGAGCACTCAGAAGACAACCTGTGGAATGGGCCTCCATGCCCTTCCATTGGTACTCCAGGATGCAATTGCATATGTATTACTCAACAATATTATCAGAAACATTCTTAAAAACATGATTTACCTAATTACCTCATTACATAAGAGGGAGAATATTTCCTTGCTCTCTCCACAACCAGGCAAAAATGTAGCTAGAACATGCCTTTAGACTCTTCATGCCCCTTCGCCCTTTTTTCTCTATATAACTCTTCTCTTTCTGGCTGCACTAGCTCTCAATCCTGCTCTCCTCTTTCAAGTTCTTAGTTCTATTTTTTCACTCACACTTTCTAAATCAAAGTAGCTCATTCCCTTTGTGTGGCAGTTTCTGCAAGGTGTTGAGGCAACTGCTAAAACTGCTTAGTAAACGACACTAAGAATGACTTAACTCCAACTCCTTTAAACATACTTAAAGATAATGACACTTTTATTATAAAATATAGCCATATTAAAGAAAAAAATTATAATTGGATGTAGGCTCCAATCTCACCACCCCAACACAACCCTCTTTTTTAATGTTATCTCTCTAATATTTCCATACAAGTACAATTTTATTTGTTTTTTCTGATACTGCATACAAAAATGTTTACTATTTTAATGTATACATTTGTTGTTGTTAGGTGCCATTGAGTATAACTCATAGTGACCCTATGAAAAATAAATCTGAACCTTGTCCTATCCTGTCCCATCCTCATCTGACTCTCCACCAAGCATGATAACCCTTTCCCAGGGAATTACCTTGCCTAGAAATAAGCCCAAAATATATGAGATGAAATTTTGTCATCCTTGCTTTCAAGGAGAATTCTGGCTGCACTTTTTCCAGGACAAAACTGTTCATTCTTTTGGCTGTCCATGGGATATTCAATGCTCTTCTCCAAGGCATAAATTCTTCTGTCATCTTTATTTATTGTCCAGCTCTCAACAGCATAAGAAGTGATTGAAAAGAACCACAGCCTGAATCAGGTGTGCCTTAGTCTTCAAACTGGTATCACCATCACTGCTACATTTTTTTTATATTATAGTCCATTAAGAACACTGATCTAGGTTAACAATTTCTTTGCTTTTAAACATTTAAAAGTAACAATTTAAAGCACAATTTTTAAAACTTTCCCACCATTGTTTGAGTTACTAATTATCATAAATGGGATTAGTGAATCAAAATATATTTGTGTACACACTCTCACTTTGGTGGTTTAGTGGTAAGGAATTGTACTGCCAACCCAAACGCATGGACTTTGAATCCACTAGCTGTTCTGTGGGAGATAGATAACCTCCCCTGGTGTTGCCTCTGAAAGGAGAGAGTGCTCTGAGAGAGAATGATGGCCAATCTCCTCCTGTGCAATTTACATGCAACCTCTGAAAACCCACTGAAGGCTCAACTATGAGTTGGTTCTGACTTCATGGTATGTAACAAATTTCACACGTGTGTGTGTGTGTGTGTGTGTGTGTGTGTGTGTGTGTGTGTGTGCATGCAGCAATGGACTTGAATGTGTGAGAGACTGTGAAGACAGTATAGGATAGAAGAGGGTTCAGAGCTGTTCATGTGGTCACTGAGTCATGCTTAACTGCACCTAACAATAACTACAACATGCAGTTTTTAAGGTAATAATGAACGGTACTGACTACAAAACTTTTGATACTTTCATTCTTTAGCTATAGGTATTACAAACTTTAGGCCTTGAAAATATAAGATGTGCTTTTAAAAAACCCAGTTTACCAATCTGATTTTTTATTTTAATATTTAGGATTGTTTGGATAAATTTGAGGATTTGCCTGTGGCCTCACCTAAGCATTTTGAAAAAACAAAGTCAAAGTCAAAGCTTTTAGGGATGAGCCCAGATGACAACCACAATCTGCCAAAACACTTTGCAAGACCCTCTACTGCTCCAGCGGTTAACAGACATCAGAGAGCCCACAGTGCGAAAGGTACAAGTCCTCGCCTGACTTCAGCAGGCTTAATGCATACACGCAGTCCCATCTCAAATAATGAAATGCAGCCAAAAAAACGAAATTAAAAGAGCATACTGAAACACATTTGCTCATTTTTGATATTTTCCAAGTGTTAAACAATTCCTAGTCATATTGTGAAAAGGGCCAACAGTCACTAAGAATATAATCTCTTCTATTAACAAAATGGTTTGAAGATCTGTCCTTTTTGTGTACAATCCAGCTTTATCTTGTTAGAACCATTTTGTTTTGATTAAAAAGAAAAATAAGCACTTTTGGTGTAAATGTGGTTTTATTTATGAGATTATAGGGAATAAAATAAAATCAGAAATATTCAGTTCAGACTTCTTAGTAAAGATTTGTTTCCTAGCTCTTTACTTTTACCAGTATACAACAGTGTCTCAGAATTTCTAAAACCTTGTTATACTTTAAATTACCCTTACTCAGTTTTCAGGTTTTATAGTTATATTTAGCATTTTGTCTGCAGAAGAGGATGGGCAATCTCTTCCCATTTGATTAACTGCCTCTGAAAACCTCCTGGAGGCTCACATATGAATCAGTTCTGACTCAATGGTAAACAATCACCACCACAGGATCCTTTGACCCCAACTCTCCTTGTATTACTAGATCCTCTAACAACCTACAAATCTTTGTACCAGTAAACTTTTCTGATAATATTATCTGATACTATACGATTATACCCTACCAATAAGACAAAGAACAGATGCATAATTTCTGAGGCCTCTTCAACACAAGTAATTCTGCTAACTTACTCCCAAAACGGCTTTGTTAACAAACCCAAACAGGTAAATGCATAAAATTCTAGAAAATAAAATATAGCTAACTAAGTCAGCATAGGATTTAAATCAGAGACTTCCAAGAATTGATTCTTTGAATTCTGTTTTTATCAAGTACCATATTCAAGAAGCAAAAAAAAAAAATCAATTTCTAGAACTTGTCAGTTTCCATGTTCCTACTATAAAACAATAAGATGATAGGGCTTAAATATAATTGGCTGGTGGGAAAAAGAATTTCTGATTATTGATTTAGTGATATAATCAGGGTAATATTGGTTTAGTTTTCTGGATGTGTCCCAAGAATTTCCAGCAATTTTCAGTTATTAGTGCTTTTTGAATATTCCAACTGAAGAAACAAGAATAATTCTAGATCTTTTAAACTGAAGAAATAAAGTTAATTGATTTCACTAATGATGCAACCACACCTGAGAAGCATAAAGGACAACGAGGAAAACCAGGAATTAACAAGAGCAAGAAGTGCTACATCCCCTTCAGGTGGAAAGAACTGCAAGCAAAAGTGGCATTGGCAAGAGTCCTGCAGCTAAAAGGCAGAGAAGACAGACTACCAGGAACACCACTGCCAATGAGACATGGCAGAGGGTGAGAAATGCGTGGTTTGTTATCCCTCCACCTGTGCTTGGACCTTAAACTATTACCTAGCCTGCCTGGAAGGCAGTTACCTCCACATTAACCTCACAAAACAGAAGAAGGAAAGATTGGGGAAATGGATTTGAGAAATAAATAAGCAATTGACCGTTAGTACTTACTGAGGGAAAACTAGTGATCTAGCTTGCAGTAAAAGAGGATATATTTCCTGGACCAAAAAAATCCTTTGGCCTAATTTGTGTGTGTGTGTGTGTGTGTGTGTATGTATGTAAATATGTACAACAAAACATTTGTCAATTCATTAATTTCTATATGTATAGTTCAATGGGATAATTACATTCTTCATGTTATGTAACTATTAGCATTACATTTTTCTTAATTATTCCACAAATTAAACTCAATTATTCCTGCCCCTCCAGGGCCCAAAGCAAAAATTCCCTTCCTTCCACCTATGGTAAACATTAATTATCTTTGGCTCTTAATATTGCTTATTTCATGTAAGATCGTATAGTATTTTTTCCTTTGTGATTCACTGATTTTGTGAAGCATGTTTCCAAGGTTCCTCCATGTTATGACATGCATAAAAACGTCATCTCATTACGGCCGAATACTGTTCCACTCTAAATGTTTTGTTTATCCAGTCATATATTGTTGATGGACACCTCCATTGTTCCACATTTGGTTATTGTAAAAGTGCTGCAGTGAACACTGGTGTACTGATTTTTACTTTCACTTAGCGTTTCACTACTGAATCACATGCTCTGTTCAATTATTGTGGAACCACCAAGCTATTTCGCACTGCAGCTGCATCATTTACATTCCCACCAGCAATATCTGAAGACTTCTTATTAACTTTTCCCCCAGTATTTTCTCGGTTTTGGTGATAGTTTACACAGTAAATTGGGTTTTCCTTTTGACAATTTCCACACAATTTGTTCAGTGAAATTATTTACAGTTACCTCAATGTGTTCAGCATTCTTTGTTTTTGGCTCATTCTCTTTCCAGTACTCCTGTTTCTTCTTTTCTCTGCAATTTTATCTTCTCCTCTTTTTGCCTCTGGTCTCATACTGATGTTTTAATAGCAGGAAAGCAGGACGTAGATCTTACAGATTATATATTTTGTATACGACACTATTTGGTTAAATGGTGATCTTGGGGGTTAGATTCTTCATTTACACTTTTTTAGGGAGTCTGCTGTTCTCGGTCTCAATTTCATTATAAGAATCTGTATTCTTCATAGTTTTCTCATGTTCTAAACGGATCAACTCTCACGATACCAAGCAGACAGGCCAGAGGGTGGCTGGGCACCACCTAGTTAGTCTGGTCTCATAGTACACGGGGTCATGATGATTGTAGACTTGTTCTTTCCCTTTATGCTTACTTATTTTCTTACTGTTTACTCCTGGTGAGTAGTTTTATGTTAGATGGTCTCGCACAAGCTTTTAAGACCCCAGATGCTGCTCACTTCACAAGGACTCAGAATATGACTTTTCCTTATTAAGCAACCAGAGCTCAGTGAAATATAATAGTGAATGAGACAATATTCTCAAGGAGTTGATAGTCTATTGAGAACATAAACAGAATTGTAACAAATCTGTGAAAATGCAAGTACTATGATGAGGAAAATACTAATGAAGTTTATAGGAGATTTTATTTTTTTAACTTTTGCCACTTTATCAATTCAAGAAATAATTCTTTTTTTCCATTGAGATTTTAATGAAAGATTATAGAGAACTTGGATTTCCATTTATTCATTATTGCATATTTTCCTCCCTGCCCGCCCCTCCCCCCAGTTCATTTTTCTCTTTGAGAAGAAAAAAAAATATTTTATTGTTATGCAATCCCCCCAGTCCACTTAACTATGCAGCTCTTATTCTGAACTCTTGCCATGCAAATAATACCTAATCATATATCCCTTTTAAACAGTTCTCTCGCTCATCTGTTGCAAGGCAGTGTATACATTATTTATCCCCTCTTAGTTTCCCCCCAAACCCGATGTCAGTCCTGTTTTATAACAATGGCATTATGCAGTATTTGTCCTTTTGTTATTGACATATTTCACTCAACATAATGTCCTCTAGGGTCAGCCATTTTGTATAATATTTCATGAGTTCCTTGTTTTTCAGTGCTGCATAGTATTCCATTGTGTGAATATACCACAATTTCTCTATGCATTCATTCATTGATGGGCACTTGGGTTGTTTCCAACTCTTTGCAATCATCAACAAAGCAGCAATAAACATAGGTGTGCATATATCTGCTTGGGTAGAAGTTCTGGTTTCTTTAGGATATATTCCCAGTAGTGGAATTACTGGGTCAAATAGTATTTCTATTTCCAACTTTTTGAGAAAGTGCCATACTGCCTTCCACAGCAGTTGCACCATTTTACACTCCCACCAATACTGAATAAGAGTTTCGGCTCCTCCACAACCTCACCAGCATTTGTCGTTTGCAGCTTTGTTGAATTTTGCTATTCTTACTGGGATGAGATGATATCTCATAGTTGTTTTGATTTGCATCTCTCTTAGAGCTAGGAATTTTGAACATTTCTTCATGTATGTGTTTGTCATCTGAATGTCTTCTTTAGTGAAGTGTTGGTTCATATCCTGTGCCCATTTTGCAGTTGGGTTGTTTATCTCGCTGTGGTGCTCAAGTATTTTATAAATTCTAGATATAAGTTCCTTATCACACATGTCATTACCAATCCTCCCCCCTTCCCCCCACCCCAGACGGTGGCTTCCCTTTTTACCCTGCTGGAGAAGTATTTGGATGTACATAGGGATTTGTTCCTGGTAGGTCCCATTCATCTATTTTATCCTCTCCTGGTAGTAGGTTTTTCAGGATGCTTGGAAGACTGTTTATGTTGTGGATTAGGGCTTCTAGAGTTCTTTCAAACTTTCCTCTAATGAAGTTTATAGTCCTTGGTTTTAGCCCTTGGTTCTTGATCCACTTTGAGTTGGTTTTTGTGTATGGTTTTTGTGAGGTGTGGGTCCTGCTTGAGTTTTCTGCAATAGTTTTCTTACTTCGTCTTTAGGGTTTTCTAAGTATACTATCATATCGTCTGCATATAGAGTTTAACTCCTCTTTGCCAATTTGGATACCTCTTATTTCCTTCTTGTGTCTTATTGCTATTGCTAAGACTTCCAATACAATATTGAATAGGAGAGGTGATAGTGGGCTTCCTTGCCTAGGTTCTGTTCTCAAAGGGAATGCCTTTAATCTCGCTACATTGAGAACAATGTTGGCTCTTGGATTTGTGTACTTTTTACTATGTTGAGGAAATTCCTCTTTAATTCTATTTGTTGAGTGTTTTAATCAGGAAGTGATGTTGGATTTTATCAAAGGCCTTTTCTGCATCAATTGATAGGATTATGTGGTTCTTGTTCTTTGCTTTGTTAATGTGGTGAATTACTCTGATTGTTTTTCTTATGTTGGACCATCCTTGCAAACCTGATATGAATCCCACTTGGTCATGGTGAATTATTTCTTTGATGTATCGTTGGACTCTATTGACCAGGATTTTATTCAGGATTTTTGCAACTATGTTCATGAAAGATATTGGCCTATAGTTTTCTATTTTAGTGGTTTCTTTACCTGGCTTTGGTATCAAGGATATGTTTGCTTCATAGAATGAGTCTGGGAAAATTCCATCTTTTTTTATTTTC